GCAGTAACCCATCCAGACCCATCACAGCCATCCTGCGCAGTAACCCATCCAGACCCATCACAGCCATCCTGCGCAGTAACCCATCCAGACCCATCCCAGCCATCCTGCGCAGTAACCCATCCTCTGTCTGGGGACTGGTCACCAGGCCTTTCCATCTCCGGTCCACAGTCAGAGGAGATTCCTCAGAGGCTTAATCCACAAAGGGGTTCGGGGCTCCGAGGCTGTAATTCTGTCAAGAGGCAGACGGCCATATCCTCTCCCGATCGCCCAGGCTCGCCTACTGGCTCCCTGCCATTGAGTAGATCCCAACTCAAGGCTCAGGTCCTGTGAAAAGGAGCCTAAGGGCACCTGCAGTGGCTCTGCTGGCATAGCGGTTACACACTCGGCGGCTAACGGCGAGGCCAGGAGTTCAAGATCACCAGCAGCTCCTCGGGAGAAACACAGGCTTCCTGCTCTCACGGAGAGTTCCAGTCTCAGGAATCCACGGGGCTGTTCTACCCTGTGGAATCGCCTTGATGGCCGTGAGCTTGAATCCTTTGGAGATCACCTGGGACTCCTGGAGGAAGTTGTGCCTGCACACCGAGGCGAAGGCTGAGGGAGTAACTAGCAGGCAGAGGATGGGAGGGGAGGGCAGCACCAGCAGGTGGGGAAACACGGCATTCAAGGAGTTACAAGGGCCCATGTGGCTCACTGGGTCGAGTGTGGGGCTGCTCGCCACAAGGTCAGCAGTTCAAGCCCCCTGGTCCCTCCTTGGGAGGAAAAAGAGACAGTCTGCTTTTAGAAAGATCCACAGCCCAGAAACCCTTCGGGCAGTGCCACTGGGTCAGGATGAGTCAGAATTGGCCCCAGGGCATTGAGAATGGCCACAACGAGTGAGAAGGTGTGGGGGGTGGGAGCTCAGGGGCCAGACTGCCCACGCCTCTTCCCCTGGGGGGGAAGGGTGCTTGGGAAGTGAACCTGGGTGAGATAATCACAAAGTCCAAGGTAGCTGTTGACTGGCCGCAGCGGCCTCTTCAGGGCACTCAAGGCCAAGCAAGGCCTGGCCTCCTCCTGACCCACAAGAGAAGGTGGGCCCAGAAACTCCAGGCCCAGTGGCTTTCCTCACCTACAGGCTCAGGTGGATTCGCACTGCTCATGATGGACGAAGGAGGAATAGGCCTTGATATGGGATCTGTGGCCACAGAATAATAAGCCAGAGATTAGCCACCAGCAGGGTTGGTCCTTAGGCCAACTTGTCCCTGCATCTATGTAGAGTCCAGTCAGGGTTCTGCACGGCACTCGGCAGAAGAGTCAGGGGCAGCCCATGGGGGCCACACCCCTAGTGACCTGGTAGATCTGGAACCTGGGTGTGGTCAAGTTCACATGGACCTGGGTGGTCCCACGCAGCTCATGCAATACCTGGAGGCTTCCAGACTTCCCAGGGGCCTCTGCGGAGTCCCAGGTGGGGCAGGCAGTGAAAGACTGACCTGAAGCCACCAGGAATCACATTGGAAAAGAAGCCAAGTGACCTGCTTCTGACAGTGCAGCCTTGCCCACCTCACAGAGCGCCATTCTGCCCCTGGGTGTCTGGGCTCACGAGGTGTCAGAACATGCACAACAGCAAGAGATGCTTTAAAAGTCCTTAAAAACAAAAACAGACTCATTAGACTTCCTTTTCGTAGCACAGAGTGAGCGCATAGGCAGGTCCTGGCACTGTGTGCTTACTGCTTAGAACGTGGCTCACTGAGTGACAGGCTCTGGGCCTGATGCCAGGAATGCTGCTCCCACAGGAGTCAAGAACACACCTGGTGACTATGCCTGGCACTGTGACCTCTGGGAACATCTGCAGACTTGGAATGACAAGTGAGAGTGGTCCACTAGGAAACAATGGGGGGGGGGGGCTCAGAGGTGAGTGAGTCTCCTTGGGGAATCTGGACAGGATGAGGGGAAAGGGCATGCACGGGCATCTCCTGGGTGATACTTGGCACACAGGGTTTCTCCCAAAACTGTCCCAACTGCGCAGGGGAGAGTGGGCTATTCTTCTTGTAGCACTCCTTCCCAGCAAGGAAAATGGAGACAGAGGAATGGAGCAGCAGGTGTGGGACGCTGCAAAACAGGGCTGAGTCCAGCAGCCAACAGGGCCAGACAGACCCAGGACGCTGGCACATAAACACATAAACTGCCCGCTCCCCTGCCCCATGACCAAATCTGCCACAAAGGAGAAGGAAAAAGGGGCCACTAAGGTAGGAAAAGATGTCCACGTCACAGACCCAAACAAAACCACCATGAGTCACCTAGGGCCCGGAGATCAGCACAGGGAGAAAATACTTGTATTCCCAGAACACCTGCTCCTTATTTTCAAATGCTGACCCCTCCCCCCAAAGGTGTGTGTGTGTGTGTTTACAGAGACAGAAACGAGAGGGAAATTCCCTTGCTTATCCTTAAAACAAACCCCAACACCATTGAGACAATTTCAACACACAGCGACACTTCCACAAACAAACGCAGTGGCATCAAGGTGAAGCTGACCCACGGCAGAGCAGGGCAGAGCTGCCCCTGGGGGTTCCCAACACACCGAGTGACTGCCTGGCGCTTCGGTCTCTGGGATCGCTGTAACTTTGTGGGCGTCGGAAGCCTGTCATTCTCTCTAGCGACACTTCAGAACAAAGTAAGACTGTTTCCCGGTGTTTCCAGAGCTGTACTCTTTAGGAAAACACTGTCCCACCTTCCTCCCGCAGAGACACGGATCAATGAGAAGCCATGGCCTTTCAGTTCCCAAGGGAGTCCTCTCACTACTGGGCCACCAGGGCTCCTCGTCCCACTGTGAAGGGTGCCACATGGGCCTCTCTGCCCTGTGCTTCATCCACAGCGCCCCTGAGGCCCTCCAGGAGCTGCTGCAGCCAACAGGAGAGGCGAGGGAGCCCTCTGGGTACCATGGGACACGGAGACCCCCTTCCTGGGGCGTCCTTGAGCAGCTGTGCCCCCTCCGGCTCCTGTCTCGCTGCCCTCTAGAACTGCTGGTTCTGGGCCGGACTCTTCATGGCCTCCGCTTGTCCCCTTCTCCAGCCTGGAGCTCCCTGCTCGCCCTCAGCACTTCGCCCAACGCCACATGTGATGGCCTGGGCTCCT